TTTTATTGGGCAAAATTAGTTGCAAATATCCATTATTAAAAATACGAATAAAAGGATGAAAATTTTTTTCTTTTCTTCTCTCTCTTTGTTAAGGTTTTTTCCTTTTTTCTTTCTTTCTTTCTTTTTTTTGCTGATAAAAAAAGAGATTGACATGGAAAATAAATTCCGGCCTTCTAAATAGAAGGAACGCCAATGTTTTCTTAGACATGATAAAAAGAAACGACTTTATGAAAATATATATGCTACACTATAATCAGGAGTAATATCAAATAAATGAAAAGAATGTCAACTAAATAGAGTCTACTTTAACGAGTATTTATCCGAACTCCGATAATTTGTATGAGAGTAGATTAAATGATTTCCAAGAAGTTAGTTCCAAACTAAAGCGAATAGATGTATCAAAAAAAAAAAAAAAAAAAAGCAATATCAAAGAAAAAAAAAATTATATTGACTACAATCAAGTTGAGGTAAAAGGCTGAGGTTAGAAGCCTTTTTGACATAAATTAATTACATTACATTAATATTTAAACTAAATAAAAAAATTTTTTTTTTATTTTTATGTTTTCTTATATATACTGTATATATGCGTGTGTCAAAGTTTTTTTTTTTTTTTACTACGTAGAAATTTGTTCATTTAACAAAAAGAATCTGAATAAACTTTGAATATACGTATACTCTCAGGGTGCGTGAGGTTCGTGAGGTTCGTTAAGTTCGTGAGGTTCGTGAGGTTCGTTAAGTTCGTGATGTCCGTGAGGTGTGCGAGTTGTGTGAAAAGGCGAGGGGGAACCATCGACAATTACATTTATGCTTTCCAGCGTTTGCGTTGATTGCGATAAAATGGTTTGTTGCAGTAAAGGTTGTGGTACCGAAGAATTTTCAAAGGGAAATACTTCCCCTTGCAACATATCATATGTCTGAAGTGTTGTCATTTCAAAAATCTCAAAAAAAAATTTTTTTTTCATCGGTCTTTTATTTATAAAACTCAAAACCTGGTAATTTGGGATATAATGTACTAAAAATCCCTTCAATTAAGACTCAAACAATGTTATCTGATAAGACGTTGAAACAATTTAAAACTAAAAAAGTTTTTCTCTGGTATCACTAGCGATAATAAATGATAGCATGTCGGAGAACCCATGAAAACTTAAAATACTAGATTTAATCTTGAATCCCTTTCATGGCTCCTAATATATGTCGCCGATCCGGCAAAGGCCGATTATAAAGATAATTTGTTTGCATCTATTAAATAATTAAATAACGTCATTTCGAGTTTCATATATATGCACTTAGTAATAAGGTTTTTAAAAATGAATTAAAATAAATTAATCCAAATAATTTGCATGCATGTTAATGTATTATGAACAAGATTTTATTTATCCAGAGTATAATTTTTTACAATATATAGTATGTGTGCACAGCACAAACGACTCGGTAATATTAGAAGTCGCTCTCTGCGTACATAAATTGATATTTTTAAAAAGGCCTTATTTATCAAGCTTTTCAATGAAGCTCCGTATGCAAACTTTTACATATTGTATTAAAAAGTGCAGTCCGAAAATAAAAATGTCCTGATATACTGTATATTCACTGATTGTAATCAGAATTCCATGAGAATTTCCCTTATTACTCTGTGGCATCAATAAAGATAAATAGTGCCTAGATCAATGAGATAGCATCCGAGGTATTCTTTCAAAGAATACCATATCAACTCTTGATAAACAATTTAATTTGCGACACAATATCCTAGCTGGCTTGCACCAGCAACACAATGATTCGGTTATCAAGAATTGATATCCTATTTGAACCAATGCCATCCCTTTCTTTTTCTGCAATATGCATCTAATAAAATAACTTATTGCGAAAAAAAAAAAACCTACCTTATACATATTAACGCTATACAATACCATAAATAAAAAAACTTTTATGTCATTCACACATTTATTTTATTTTTTAACTAAAACTGTGCTCTACATCCATAACTTACCGTAATATTGCTTGATCTTTATTTTTTAGATTTTATCGAACCTTTCCATCAAATGTTATCCCTCACAAGCTTCCTTTGCTTTGACTCTTTCAACAATCTTCCTTAACACGGATGTTGCTTTTACAATGTTTTTATGATATTTTGCCGATACTGGTATAACATCATATTCAAATTCAAACCCGTTACTGTAACTCAAGTTCAAAATATTATTTCCATTCTCTCCCGTTGGTTCTTTTTCATGCCTGTAATCAGAAATCTTCGACTGTAATAGTGGAAGGTTCTTTTTCGCTTTTCCTGTTACGTCCGCCTTATTGGCAATAAGCAATGACGGCTTTTTGGTCAATCCCTCCTTGTATTGTTCGAGTTCTCTCATCAAAACTCCTAAATCTTCCCATGGCTCATCAGATGTTAAATCGACCACGTACACCAATACCTTTGATCTTTCTATGTGTCTCAGGAATGAATGTCCTAATCCAACATTTTTGTGTGCATCCTTTATGAGTCCTGGAATGTCTGCAACAGTCAACTGAAATCTGTCTGCAAAATCAACAGTACCAATAAATGGATTCAGAGTAGTAAATGGATATGGTGCGACCTTTGGATGTGCGTTCGAAACGGCTGACAAGAAAGTAGACTTTCCCGCGTTGGGCAAACCCACCAACCCGACATCCGCAATGGTTTTCACTTCAAGTTCAAGATATCTTTTCTGTCCCTCTTTTCCACGTGATGCAAAAGTAGGTGAACGATTAGCATTTGTAACGAAATGCGGATTCCCCTTTCCGCCTTCACCGCCACTAGCCACTATGTTTTGAACATCTGGCACCGATAAGTCAAGGTAAAGTTTAGAATTAGCCCTATCCTGTTTATATTGTTTTCGTTTTTTTCCTTCTTTTCTAAAAACCTCATCGGTTTCTAATAAAGTTCCATTAAACGAGTTTCCATCTTCATGAACTCGTATTTCTGATCCACTTTTATCATGTAACTCTATACCACTTATAGTATCATAAATTCGATTTTTAACTTTTGCCTCTCGAAGATCTATGTTAGCGTCATATTCGTCAAACTTTGACTTATCAGATTCACTCTTGGACGAACTTGGAGAATCGATTTCACGGATGATGGTACCCAATGGAATAGGAATTATAATATCTTTTCCTGCGGCTCCATGCCTCAAGTGACCTTTGCCATTTTCTCCTGGTGAGGCAACGATGATGCTCGGAATCGAGTGGAGAGAATAGTGCTTAGCAGAGGATAGAAATATTACATGACCACCTCGACCTCCATTTCCTCCAGCGGGTGGGTCATGTGACTTTTCTTTTTCATGGAGGAAGGCGACACACCCATCACCGCCGCGGCCACCTTTAACTGTCACATGTAGAAAATCCACAAATTGTGACTTCGGTGCGTAAATTATTCACAGGGTGAGTTTTTGAACAAGAGATTAGTTCAGAAGAGAAGAGAAAGCTATGCTGCCACCAAGCGACTAATAATAATATTAGAAAGAAAACCTTGTCCTTAAGTTTATATGGTTGAGTGTTACAATGTTTCTTCTCCACATCGTAAGTCCCGTGAGAAGTTTGTTTTTCTTCTGGGTTTTCAGAACCCTTACTTCCCCTAAAACTTATAGAATTTTCGTCTTCATGCGAAGAATATCGTACAGGAGTCAACGGTGCGCGAAAAAAATTACAAGGAGAAGCTCGGAGAAAGAAATGCTTTGAAAAAACATCAGAGAGGTTGAAATGTTTACGAAAACGCGGTATAAATAATTGCATATCGTTATATATCCAAAACTTAGAATTTTGTTTTGATGAAAAGATAATCTACACAAAATTCCGATACGTATTTCCGATATTCCAATATTAGAGTTTTTGTGTCACCACTTTAAATAGCACAAAGATAAGCAATGCAAACAGATTACCCAAAGAAGAAAATGAAATTCCTGATCGCCTATCATTTGTAAAAATAGGTCGGAATCCACATAGATATTTAACAAAGAATTGCCAAAATTCAGAGCGACAAAGAATAAAGAAAGAACGCGTTTATAGAAATTATATCAAATTTTCAAAAATTGCATAGAACATCTTGTTAGAATGCATAAGCTCTGCGTTTTGAAATATAAAATGACTTAAAATGAACGACAGCATTCGTAATTTACAATCAAACGAGTACAAAGGATATTCGTTAAACCATAAAATCTCTTATGACAATGTGTTACTCACGGATTACGTAAATTTTCAAAACTAATAAATAATTTTTTAAAGCATGATTTATCGATTTATTTTGAATTTTTTATTATTAATTTTTTTTTATTTATATTATGACTACCGATTGTTAACTTGATTATATACTGGTTTAAATGTTTAATTCCAATAATTAACTATATACAATGATGGCAAAAAAAATATCAATTTAGTTGTTACAGTATCTCTAATTATATACAAAGTTCATATAAAATTATTTAAATAGTCTAAATTTATATACGGTTGCTTCCAAAAGTTTGAGTCCACTTACTAGATTTTTATTATAAATTTCAACTTTGACAATTTTTAAATCATTAACTATGCAGTCAAAAATTATAAAAATTATATATAT